TAGCCCTTCAGGCTCATGTCCTCCCAAATGCACTTTGCAGTGCTCTTGTGCCTCTGCTTTTAACCCAGAGGCACCCCAGGATAAACCTGGTCCCTTTTGAGCCCATCCTGTGATGTTGGGCCCTGTGGGACAGTGGTTGGACCCCGAGCATCACACCTTGCTTAAATCACTCGTGTTTTGGTGCTGACCTGCTGCCTCAAACTGTGTGATGCTGCTGTGTGTCTGTGCTGATAAAGAGATGCTGAGAGGGGAGAAATGGCACGTCAGCACTGTGCTCGTAACTGCTGCTTTTTCTTGAGCACAGACCCTCCTGCTGGGTCTGATCTGTGAGGAGAAGAGGTTCTTTAAGGGCTCACACAGCTGACAAGGCTGTAAAAATCAGACACTGATGTCCCCTGGGTGTTTGCTCGTGGCCAGGCTGTCCTCACCTGGTGCTTCTCCTTCCGTCAGATCCACAGCAGGTATGAGGGGAAGAAAACCTCTAAGCACAAGAGGAACTTGGCCATCACTGGAGGGGTCACTCTGTCTGTCATTGCCTCCCCAGTCATCGCTGCTGTCAGTGTTGGTAAGTGGGCTCAGTCCCTGCCCCTTCTGGTGGGCCAGTAGCCACTGAGACAAGTGGGTAGCCCAGCCCTGTGCAATGGGGGTGGCCAAAGGCAGTTTGCAGAGTGCTGCTGGGGGTGGTTTTGGGCACAACCACAGGCCCATCCTGGTGTCCCTTGACACACAGAGCTCTCCCTCACTCAGGGACTGGTTTGGTGGCCACTGTCTCGTGGGTTCAGTGCTCTTGGGGTTCCCCCATTCTGCACAAACAAAGGGCTCCTTCTCTGCCTGTCTGCGAAACTGGGAACTAGAACCTTTTAAAAGCAGCATAAACACAACTGAGGGAGTCCCTACCCCAAAAACCCTTTCAGTCTGCCTGAGCACAGCTCGGCCTTGAGCTCCTCTTAACCCAGCACGTGCTCCCCTCCAGGTATTGGGGTGCCCATCATGCTGGCCTACGTCTACGGCGTCGTGCCCATCTCGCTGTGCCGGGGCGGTGGCTGTGGGGTCAGCACAGCCAATGGGAAGGGGGTGAAAATCGAGTTTGATGAAGATGATGGACCCATCACAGGTAACGTGGTGACCTGGGGAAGGGGCTGTTACACCCCTTTGCAATGAAATGCTCAGGGGCCGTGACGTTTCCCAAACCTGAGCATCTGTTTTCACCTGGGCCTGGCTAGAAGCGGGTGTTTGCTTCAGTCTTGCCCTGACCAGGTGTGTCACGGGAGGCTGCCTGGGATGAGGCATCACTTCCCTTGCTGATTCCCGCCCCTGTGCTCTCCTCCCCTGCAGTGGCTGATGCCTGGCGAGCCCTGAAGAACCCCAGCATCGGTGAGAGCAGCATCGAGGGGCTGACCAGCGTCCTGAGCACCAGTGGCAGCCCCACGGACGGGCTCAGCGTCATGCAGGGCAACTACAGCGAGACAGCCAGCTTTGCTGCCCTCTCTGGGGGCACCCTGAGCGGGGGAGTCCTCTCAGGGAGCAAGGGGAAGTACAGCAGGTAACGTTGGATTGCTGGGAAAAACACAGGGGGTGCCAAGGGGCGGTGTTGGTTGAACAGGTTTATTTTGGGGGAGCTCTCCAGGACTGGGAGTGGTCCTGCTTTGACCTAGTTGTGTCCTAGCACTTCTGCATCTTGGTCTGTCATAGAGTAACCGGTCCCAGCAGATCACCCAGGGTGATCAGGGACCCAGGGTTGTGGACTCCCCATCCCTGGGAAGTGTTCAAGGCCAGGCTGGACAGGGCTTGGAGCAACCTGGTCTAGTGGAAGGTGTCCCTGCTCATGGCAGGGGGTTGGAACTAGATAACCTTTAAGGTCCCTTCCATCCCAAAGCATTCCATGATTCTGTGATCAGGCTGCTTCTGGACCCAGTGCTGGGCTGGTTCTGGCAAGGAGGACAGAAGATGAGTTCCTGTGCCTACTGAGCCCCCCTAAAATTGCAGAGCTGCTGCTTTGGAATAGTGCAGAGATACCTGCGTGACCTGCTTAGAGCTATTCCAGTCCCCTCATCCCAGCCTGGAGGCTTTGCTGCTCCCTGTTCTCCAGTGGCCTGCAGCAAACGGTGCCACTGCCCTCCAAGTCAGGAGGTTACAGCGCAGTTTTCCTCCCAGCTTGCCTGTGAGTCAGTGGGGTGGGTAATTAGAGACACGTGTTGACATGGCAGCCGGGACGCAATCACGGCTCTCCCTGCGCCAGATCCGTGGAAATCGGTTCTTCCTCGGGAGCTGTGTGAGTCACTGGATGTAAACACCACTTTACCTCCGTCATGGAAAACAGAATGGATTTGCCTAAATGGAGCCAAAAATGAGAGACTGTACGAGAGGAACCGTTGGGGTTAAGCTCTGTCATGCTGAGGCACACGGGGCCTCTCGCTTTCCCCTGAAGAGCAGTGACTGATTGGTGCTCCTCAGGGATATCTAAAGCATTTCTAAGGAATCCTCCTCTTTTCCTGCAGGCTGGAAGTTCAGGCAGATGTCCAGAAGGAGATTTTCCCCAAAGACTCGGTCAGTTTGGGGGCGATCAGTGACAACGCCAGCACTCGAGCCATGGCTGGCTCCATCATCAGCTCCTACAACCCCCAGGACAGGTAGGAGGACACGGAATGGTGAGAAGAGCATTGGTAGTGGGTGTCCTGGAAAAAATCTGTGCTCTGTGAGCGCTGCTGTGGGCAGTGGGATGACTGTAGTTGCACCAGGCTGCTCCTCTGCCGCTGGCAAGCGGATCAGTCCTTTTGCTGGCACAGGAGGAGGGCTGGGGACGGTTTGGGAGCAGCCTCCATGTGTGGTGTGGAGCCTGAGGAGGGGATCTGCAGCCCAGCACCCTCAAGGTCTGTTCTGGCAGCTCGTGGGGGACTCTGGAGCTTTCCCAGCTCAGATCTTGGCTGCTGTTGGGAGAACTCGAGAGCAGCGAGTGTTGTTGTTCCTCGCATGCCAAGGGGCGATGAGCAGCATCTTGCTTGTGTTTGGGAAGTGTGATCCTCCCAGTTCAGCGGTGCAGTGCCCAGTGGTGCCCAGTTGAACCCAGTAACCGTTCCCAGTAATGCAAGGGCTCCCTTGTTTCTGCAGGGAGTGCAATAACATGGAGATCCAGGTGGACATCGAAGCCAAACCCAGTCACTACCAGCTGGCCAGCGGCAGCAGCACAGAGGACTCCCTGCATGTCCACACCCAAATGGCAGAGAATGAGGAAGAGGAGGAGGAGGAGGAGGAGGAGGAAGAGGATGGTGAGCAGGAGCAGACGTGCAAACACCAAAGCTGTGAGCAAAAGGACTGCATTGCCAGCCAGACCTGGGACATCACCCTGGCCCAGCCTGAGAGCATACGGAGCGACCTGGAGAGCTCCTGACAGCCAGTCGGACGACGTGCCGGACATTACCTCGGACGAGTGCGACTCCCCCCACTCTCAGACTGCAGCAGGCTGCCCACAGACCCCCAAAGCTAGAGGTGCCGAGAGCCCAAGTGCCCACCTGAGCCACTGTGCCCAAGCCGAGGGCTGCCGGCTGGATGAAATGGTCCAACTGGAGTGCATCGAGGCCAGAGTGTGACGTGCCCTCCTGCTGGCAGCACACCCGCTGCCACTGCGTCTCTTGGGCTGGGCTTGTGTCCCTGTTGGCTCCTCTTTGCCATCCTCCAGCTGGTTCCCCAGCCTCGCCTCGGGAAGTTGCTGTTTCTTACGTGACATAAAAAGGAAAGGAAAGGACAAACAAACAAACAAACAAACAAAAAAAGAAATCCCCTGCCGTCTTTTTGTTTTAATTTATTGGTTCAAAGTCTGTGAGGTGTGTAAGAGTGTAAATATGTACGTGTGTCTGTATGTCTGCAACCATCCTAAGGGACTCTTGGAATAAAGACTCTGGTTGTCATTCGACTTGCATCCATCTCGTCCTTTCCAAAGCTACAGGGAAATCCTCCAGCTGCCTCTGCCCTTGGCTCAGGTGTTTGTGAACGTTGTTCCCAAAGGCTTGGGAAGAGGAGAAGTCTCTCTTCTCCATCTCCATGTGCAGCAGGGCTGGGTACAGGTTAAAGGAGGGGAAGGATGGGGACTAAAGCCAAATTCCCAGCACAGCTGGGTGCATGGGAGCTGAGGAGGCTGAGAGTGGTGACTCAGGTGGGATATTGGGGATCATGTTTTTGTCCCTCTGCCTGGACCAGGCCCTTCCCCAGACCACTCCCAGGAACCAGGGTTATCCCTGTAATTAAGCTGTTGGTGCCCCTTGTGTCTGCAACAAGCTTTGCAGAGGGATTAGTGAGAGTCTCCCACCAGCGAGGGAGGGTCCCCACAGCCCCCTGGTGTGAGCAGAGCTGGGGTGCTCTTCCAGCAAGCCCTTGTCCCCATCCCTCTCCCTGTCTCCTACTATATCAGTAACTTCCCTGGAAGCTTCATGAGGGCGATGGCCACCAGACTGGTTCCTGTGAGTCACCCCCTGAGGAGTCACCACCCACCCTGACCCCTCTGCTTTGTCCTCTCTCTGCAGGTCAGTCCCTGGCACCTGGCAGTGCTGGCCTGTGCCCCGTGGTCCAGCAGTGTCCCACCCTGAGGGGCTGCCTCTTCCCAGACCCTCAGCCCCTGGCCTTGGAGCTGCCTGGCTGGATCCCAGCCTGCTGTAAGGTGGAATAACCTAAGCGTGCTGGGGAGGGGGGAATGGATGGGGAAGGGGATGAGGGAGGGTGTATTGGCACAGCGTGGCATGGTGTGTTGGCACAGCACAGCATGTCCCAGCACGGCAGCAAGGGGAGTGCAGGGGTGGGACATGCAGGTGAAGGTGGAGTTTATCCCTTTGTTCACAGGGGAGCTGGTCTGACAGGAATTGGAGCAGCAGCTGGTCCTGCCCAGTCCCAGCCCCGGTCCTGATCTGACGCACTGGGAACACAATGGACCCGTCTGCCTGGGGGCTGAGGGTGGGCCAGGCCCCTTGGGCATCGAGGGGCTCTGATGGCCTGATCCTGGCCTGGTGAAGATGTGCCAAGGAGGTGAGTCTGGGTCTGGGGTGGTGATCCTGACAGGAGGGCTCCAGCACTGTCCTCCTGCAGGGGGAACCGAGGGAGGGAGGGAGGGGAGCCGAGGGGTCAGGGATGGAGCTGGGCTGAGCACCAGGTGATGGTGGGGGTGTGAGAAGAGCGGCCCCAGGGTGGGTTCCATGGGAGGAACAACCCCACAGTTGCTCCTCAAAGTAGCAGGTGCCAGAACCCAGTGCTGCAGGTGCCGCTCAGGGACAGCTGCTCTGCCAGAGCTTCTTCGTCGCTCCAGGGAGCCCCAGCCCTTCTCAACCCCGTCAGGGACCTCTGGCCCCAATGGCTGCTGGCCCCACACCACCACCCTGGTCCCAGGAGAGCAGGCTGGAGCAGTGGTTTGCATACCTGGGCTTACCAGCAGCTTCCACCATATCACCTCCTGCCTCATCCCCCTACCAGCACAGGACACCACGTCCTCTTGGGCTGTCCCCAAACACCCCATCCCTGTGCCTGAGTGTGGTGCAAGGGCAGGAGGGCCAGCCCTGTGCCGGCCACCCCACACCCTCCTCTCCCCTCGTCTCAGGACACCTCAGCCCCGGCAGCCACCAGAAGGTGCTGATGAAAACGGGCCTCATCCTCCTCATCGTCGGGCACCTCAACTTCATCGCGGGGGCCCTCGTGCACGGCACCGCCCTGCGGTTCGCGGTGGCCCCCCGGGACGCCGTGTCCCTGCAGTACCTCATCGCCAACACCGCCTCCGGCATCGCCGCCCTGCTGGTACCCCGGGCACGGAGGGGGTGGGTGAGGGGTGGGCGTGGGGTGGATGCAGGGTGGGCAGGAGCCGGGATGCAGGATGGGTTACTGTGGGATGCAGGATGGGCACTGCTCTGTGTCCCCTTCCCTGCTCTAAACAAGCCTTTCTAGTGCAAAACCAAGGGATTAAACAACCAGGGACTGCTGGGGGAGGCTGGGGGAGCTGAAGCACTGCCCCTGTGATGCTGGCCCCAAACTGGCCAGTTGAGCTGCCGGGGGCAACGTCAGCAGGGAAAGGGCACCAGTGTCACTGGGGCCTCTCTGACCTCCCTGTGCTTCCTTGCAGACCATCTCCTGTGGAATTGCTGCCCTCATGCTGTCCCACTACCTCACCCCCGCCGCCCTCGTAAGCACCCCCTGCCCTCCACCCAGCCCCCAGCAGGCTGCAACCCTTCCATGGAGTGGGCACGGCCACCACATCCCCTCCCTCAGGGGCTGTCCCCGTGGAGGGAGCGTGGGCAGCTGGCCATGCACGGCCCTGCCTCGCCCTGCTGCCTCTTCTGTCCCTCCTACAGAAATGGGCACTTCTCACCCTGAGCGCCTGCACCAGCCTGGGCTGCCTGTCCTGCCTGCTGGGGCTGCTTGTGGCCATCGGGCTGACCCTGGGCAACCAGGGCCGGGCACTGCTGGCCCCCTGCGCCGTCGCCAACGCCGCCCTTGCCCCGGTGTCCCGCGAGTGCCCCTTCGACCCCACCCGCGTCTACGTGAGTCCCCAGGGGGCTGTGGGTGGGGGTGCACTGGGGATGGGGAGGATATGCAGGATCTGATGCCCCATGTCCCCCAGAGCTCCACGCTGTCCCTCTGGGCCGTGTCCCTCGTGCTGGAGTCGATGGAGATCATCTTTGGCATCCGCTGCCTCCTGCTCACCCTCGAGCTCCTCCGCCTCGGCCGCTGCTGCCGTGGGACACACCGGAGGAAGGTGACCCCTGGTTCCCGGGCTCAGCACCAACCTGCTCCCATGCAGGGCTGGGATGGGCCTGGCTGGGCTCAGGGGCTCCAGGAGGAGGGTAAGACTTGCTGATCCAACACCCTTTTCCCACTGGTCTCATTCTCATCCTCCTCTCTGGCTTGCAGGTCTCCTTGCAGGCAGCCCCTGCGGAGAGCCCCAACCCCGGACAGTGCCTGGGCTTGCTGAGGCTGGACAGCGTGGAATGTGCCCAGCTCTGAGCAGGGCCAGAGGGATGACCCTGTGGATGTGTCCTGGCCATTCCTGCCCCATCCCAGCCCGGCTATTGGGTGGACACATCCCCTGGACTCCCCCAGCCAGCACACCTGAGCCCATCCCCGTGGCCTTGGGTCTCCTGGAGCTGCAGCAAGAGGGGATAGCTGGGCTGGATCCAGAGCCTGCAAGGAAGAACTTTCCCCCTGGGGGTCAGTGGCCCCTTTCCCACCACGGACTGCACTGACACAAACTTTATTCTGCAGGTATTAAAAGAGCAGAAGCGCATCCACCCCCCCCAAACCCCCGGAGCTCCCACCCCTGCGCCAGCCATGGGGAAGGGGCTGGCCTGGCCCACGGTGTGTGCATGAGGGGAGGTTGAAGGGGGTGGTCCCCAAGCCACCTTTGTGCCCACCCCTGCCAGAGATGCACCGGTGGCTTCACCGCCAGCCTCTCCTGCCGGGCTGGGCTGTCCCCCTGCTCCGACCCCCCGCTGCTGGGGGGACCATCCTCGCTCGGGGCAGACCCTGCCTCCATCCTTCCCCCCAGCACAGGAGGCTCCCCAGCAACGGGGACTGTCCCCTGGGGCTCCCCCTCTCCACAGCCTCGGCCGGGCTCCAGCTCTCATCCCCGAGGGGGCTCTGAGGGCACAGGGTGGGGACTATGGGGGGGCCGGGCAAGGGACGGTGGCAGTGGCCGGCTGCAGGGTCGGGGGTGCCTTGGGGGGCCGCGGGGGGCTGTGGTGGGGGGTTCAGTGGGGCTCAGAACTGCATGGCACCGCTGGGGTCGCACTGCAGCAGGCGCACGATGGACGGGTCGCTCTTGGCACCTCGGATGAACTCCTCCAGCGAGAGCTTCCCTGCGGGGAGGGGACAGGACTCAGCCTGGCGGTCACCACCCAGCACCAGAGAGCTCCTGGCACACCCCACAGACACCCACCCACCCGGGGTGAGCACCCTTGGGTGCCCAGCACCCCAAACCCCTCCAGCTGCCGGCGCTCCCCTGGCCACACCGGCGGCCACGAGCCGTTTAATCAGCGTGCGTGCGGCTCCTTCTAAGACCCCCGGATTTAGCCATGAGACCTTTCCATAATCCCCTCCATCTCCTCTCATTTACCGTCGTTATCAGTATCCATCTGTCGGAAGATTTTTTCCGTCCTTTTCTCCGGGGTCGATTCGTCTTCGGGCATGTTCATCACGGACGAGACCATTTTGTAGATGGCCTGGGAGAGGGAGATGGGGAGGAGGGTGGGTGGGTGCAGGCACCTGGCTTTGCCCACCTGAGGCAGGGACAGAGATCTGGGCTTTGCTTCCCTGGGAATGGTGCTGCCATTTAACACCTTTCCCATGGGATCAGGCTCTGGGAGGTTTCAACTCCCAGCACAGCCAGGGCTGAAGCTGCTCCTGCGGGGAGGAGATGCCACTGATGCTGATGCCACGAGGTTGGGGTTAAGGCAAGGAGAGCATCTCCTGTCCCTTTGCCAGCACCACCAGGAGTGCTTGGGGACAGCTGCCATGTACCCAGCCCTCCATGGAAGCACGAGAAGAGTCCCGGGAAGGGGTAACAAAGGTGGCCTCAGGACAAGGGAAGGAGCTGAGGATGCTCTGGCTTAGACTGATCCTTGCAGCCACAGCTGCAGACAGCAACAGGCTCCATCCCAGCCACCACAGGGTGCATGTCCCCGTCCTGGGGAGGGGACAGCCACCGTGACCCCGGGGTGACACCCAGGACCGCACAGGAGGAGCCGCGGCGGGGCGGGCGCACCGGGTACCTGCACGATCTCCAGCATCTCCTCCCGGCTGATGTAGCCGTTGCCGTCCAGGTCGTACATGCTGAAGGCCCACATGAGCTTCTGCTCCAGCTTCCCGCGGGAGGTGACGCTCAGGGCGATGATGAACTCTCGGAAGTCGATGGTGCCGTCGCCGTTGGTGTCGAAGGTGCGGAAGACGTGCTCGGCGAACTTGGAGGCGTCGCCGTAGGGGAAGAAGTTGGCGTAGATCTTCTTGAACTCCTCCACGTTGAGGATGCCCGAGGGACAGTCCTTCAGGAAACCCTTGTACCAGCCCTGCAGCTCCAGGTCGGAGAACTCGGTGTTTTCCCGCAGGTCCTGGAGCATCTCCGGGCGCAGTTTGCTGTTCTGCTTCCCCATCCCGCTGGGACCCGCCGGCCACCCCCAGGGGCGGAGAGCTGGAGTGGGGCAGGTGCCTGGCCGGGCTCAGGGGTCCCTCTGTGCTACAGGAGGGGAGAGGGACAGGGCAGTGCTCCCTGGCAGCCCCCGGACTCCCGGGAGGACGCCGGTGCTTCCCCCTCCATCCCCGCCGGCCGCTCTGAGCCGTCGGGGGCGGCCCCGGGGACCACCCAGGGCCAGGCAGTGCCAGCCCCCTCCCGTTTGCGTAATAAGCCCTCCTGGCTCATTTGCATAATATATAGGTGGTATATAGGGGGGATCAGGAGGGGGACGGGGCTGCATTCGGCGCCCACAGAGCATTGCCCGCGGCTCTGGGTCCAGCCCAGCTTTGGGGCTGGCCGGATCTGGGTCAGATCCCTTGGAGGAGGGTTATTTTCAGCTCCTCCGCTGTCTCTGTTAATATTTGATGCCTCTGGTGGGCACTGGAGCCCCAGGAAGGGCTGGGGGTGGCAGATCCCTGCTCGGGGCTCCCTCCCCACCTCAGGGTGCCAACAGCCCCGGGGGGACCCAGCACGCCCCATCCTGCCAGGATCACCCCCGAGGAGCACAGAGGGGCCCAAGGAGGGCAGGGTGGGTGTCCAGCACCCGGCCACGCACCACAGATCCCTGCCCCGGGGGCTCTGGGAGGACCTTGACCCACTACCAGCACCCAAGGCTGTGTTGTGACCCCTCTGTGGGAGAGAACGGGCTCAGGGGCTTCATGGATGCAGTGGGGGGCTTCAGTGCCTGGAGGGGAGAGACCCCTGCATCTCCAAATCCCCCGTTCCTCTGGATCACGGGGCAAACAGGACTCCCCAAGGGGAGCAGCCCAGTAGGGCTGGACCCCCCCGTTACAGGGGGCTGGGACCCCTCAGTGTCTCCCCATCACCCCCACCACTGCTCCACGCCCACTCCAGCAGCCCGAGGTAGGATCTGAGTGCCCCCACCCCACTCAGGGGTCCCCAGTTTTGTCCCTCGGGGGGTGGCACAACCCCCACCCCAATGCCCGGGGGGGCTGTGACCCCTTCCCACTGCTCGGGGCAGCTCCCGCCTCTGGGAGGGGAACCCGCGGGGGGCTCAGCCCCCTCAGAGGGGTCTGCAAGGACCACCCCGAAGCGGACACCTCCGGAAGGGTGGCTGGGCACCCCTAGGGAAGACTCTCCCGTGGCGTGGGGGGGGGGCTACAGGGGGTTGTCCCCAAACCGGACACCCCGGAGAGAGGGGCATTGCCGGGGACACACCCTAGGAAAGGTCCCCTCGGAGGAGGGGGTTCCCAGGCACCCCCGAAAGGTGCGCTGGGGACCGAGGGGGGCACAGATCACCTCCGAAAGATGCGCTGGGGCGGGGGTGGCTCTGCAGCCGCCGGCGGGGAAGGACGTGCCCGGGGCTGGGTCCATTCCAGTGCCCCGGGCTCCCCGGCTCCCCAGTGCCCCCAGGACGTGTGTGTCTGTCCCCCACGCGAATTCTCCCCGTCCCCGCCACCTCCTACCTGCCCGGAGAGCAGCAGCCTCCACCGCCGCCGCCGTGCGCCAACGCAGCCCGGGAGCGCCCGCCGGGAGCGCCCGCTGCAGTGCTGGGCGGCGGGGGGGCACCGGCACCGGGGGGCACCGGCACCGGGGGCACCGGGGGCACCGCCTGCACCCGCAGCATCCCCCTGGCACCCCCACGCCCACCCCCTCCCTCCCGAGACACCCCCCACGGAAGGGAGCTCGGGGTGCAGCCCCCGGTCCCCCCAGGCAGGGTCTGGGGTGAAATGGGGGACCCCTGTTGCACTGGCAAGGGTTTGGGGAGGGGGGGGCTTTGGGATCGCAGGGAGGTCTTGGGGCGATGGGAACACTGGGAAGGAACAGCGGGAGCGCTGGGAGCGCTGGGTGGACTGTGAGGTCTTCAGGCACTGGGAACGCTGGGAGCACTGGGTGGACTGGCAGGTCTTGGTGCAGTGGGAATACTGGGAGCACTGGGACACGCTGTGACTCTGCTGGCCCAAGGAGGTGCCAAGCCAGGCTATTAGGGGGCTAGAAAGGCACATTTTGGGTTGAGTGTCCCCAGGACTGGGATGAGGGTATGAAATCCTCCCCAGTCATTCCAGAGGCTGAAGCAAAGAGGCTTTCAGCAGCTGCCCCGAGCACCAGGAAAAGGCTCCAGTGGAGACAGATGCTGGCTATAAGGATGTGCCATTCCCAGCAGGTTTTCCTGGGTCCCTGCACCAGCTCCCTCCATTTTCAAAGCCTGGGATCCCCTGACAATGCCGTGGGGAGCAGATGGCAGGGGCAGATGGGAGGAAGAGGCACTCTGCTTGGAATTACACAAACAAAACACATAAAGTGATTAAACCCCTGACCCCTCCACTGGGCTGGGGGGAACAGGGAAAGGGCTGGGGTGGCTGTTCCAGGGTGGGGAGCTATGGGGAAGGGTTTTGGGGCTAATTCACCCCAAAATCTGCTGGGCTCTGAGAAGCTGTGGCTGCCCCATCCCTGGAAGTGTCCAAGGCCAGGTTGGATGGGGTTTGGAGCAACTCAGTACTGAAGATTCCATGACTCCATTGCAGCAGCTGGGCCTGTGCCCCAGCCCACCCAAAGGGACGGTGGTTCTGCAAGGCTGGGAACCCTCCATGGGGTCCAGGGTCAAGCCCAAGGGGTGTTTTGGGACTGGCATTGGGCTGGAAACAAAGGAAATGGGAATGGGAACAAAAATGGGAATGAGAATGGGAAGCTGCTGCAGTGGTGCCTGTGCAACAAAGATGTTTGGAGAGGTGTGGGATGGGATATGGGGCCTTGGGATGAGCAGAAAGGTGAGGAAAAGGGAGAAATGTGTGCCCTTGGAGAGACACCCCACGAGGCTGGAGCTGGGCACCCCACACCCGTGGTGCTGAGGGCAGGGGAAGCGCGGGGGCCCCC